ATTTTTTTGTTATTAAACACAATTAAACAGATCGTTAGATTAATAAATAAAACATACTCAAAATAAAAAAAAAAAAAAAAAGAACAAAACAAATTAGACCTAGGATATTAAATTAACATACAGAAAAATATTATATAACGAAGCCAGCTGAATGAACAAAGGAAATTATATATATAATTATTGAGGAGGATTTTGTATTAAGGATATTAAAGCTATTAATGGGTGAAATATTAAGTGAGGACAGGAAATTGAACAAGAGTGAACGGTTATGTTGTAAAGCTGGGCAATCAAATAGTAAATGAGGAAAATTACAGGGGACTTCATCATTGTGTTTAGGGCAGAAGGGGGAATGGTTTAGTGACATGTTAAAGGCATGACTAGGTAACCGATTATGACCAAATCTAAGACGGGAAAAAGAGGTAATATGGAAACGGGACAGAGGGAGGTTATAAAACCAAGGACGTTTAGGGATAGTTGGAACTATAGATTTATGCTAGTTAGCTAAAGAAAAATTAGACCATTTATCTTGCCATGCTTCATTAATAGTTGGATGAAAAGAGGAAAGGAGATCGGAAGAGGGAATTTTTAGTATAGGTGGTCGGTTGAAGGAGTTAGTCAGTTTGGCTAGATGGTCTGCTATCTCATTGCCAGATATTCCGACATGACTGGGGCACCATAAAAATTCAACATTAATGTCCATTAAATAGAGACTATAAATTAAGGCTTTAATTTTGATTGTGAGGAAGGATCTACTTTTTTTAAAAGAAACTGAGGAAAGAGATGATAAGACTGACAGTGAATCGGAGACAATCAGAACATTTATTATATTGAGTGATTTGACGAATTCGAGAGCCGAGGATATCGCATAAGATTCGGTGGTAAATGAACAAGCTTTTGAGGGGAGATTATCTGAGAAATTAATGTTTAGACTAGGAATAAAAAAGGAAAAACCGGCGGAATTAGTATAAACTGAGCCGTCAGTGAAAATGAGGCAGTAGTTAGCAAAACGAGAGGAAATGAGTTCATCAAAAAGATAATTGACAGGATTAATTGGGAGAGATTGTAATTGAGGCTTGCTATAAGAAAGAAATAGATGGTTAAAGTGAATTTTTGGAAAATGAGTAAGTGCATGAAATGGAATGTCATATATAGGTAGGCGATTGATTGAGGTAATTATAGAATTAAGGTAGGGAATCAAGGTAGTAGAAATTGAGGCAAGTAGAGGAAGAGTTTTGGGTACATATCGCCAAAGTGAGCTTAGTGAATGAAAACAATGAAATATTAACTTGGCAGGACTGGATATCTGTTTTAAAAGGAATTTATAGGCTAAGTAACGAGATCGAATTTCAATTGGAGGGCATACACATTCTACTTCTAAACTCATATTAGGGGTAGAGTAAACTGCACCTATAATTGTGCGTAAACAAGCAGCGAGTAGAGAATTGATTTTTTTACGATGAACAGTGGAAGCCGAGGCGTATAAAAAGGAACCATAGTCAACT